AAGAAAATACGGGATTTTCTTGGTGTACAAGACATTTCAGAAACAGAAAGGAAACCGAAACATTTTCACAAACAAAAACCGCTTATGAACTCACCAGCTTTATGCTGATTTTCAAACCGCTTGTGTTCTCAGGTCAGCGTTAGAACAGGTACCCGAAGATCCTTTTGCTTGAAGACGGTGTACATGAAGACCCGTTACATTTTGTCTATATATACTATGTATCACAACTGTACAAACTTTACTTTTGAAACAATTGTAAAACTGTTATTATGTAATGTAATGCTTGTTTTACTTTACTTACTATGTGCATTGGATTTGATACTCAACATGGAAGTCCACCCCAGAAATGTATTCCGCCTTCAGTTTTCGGGGTCTGACACTTTGAGATTCATTGAATATTTCAATGGCATGTTTAAATCTCGATATGCCCCTCTTGTTTGTGACTGGGATGCCGAGGATCACAAAGCGGGTGTGAATAACCATGCAAACTACATGGTGCCCTCACATGTTACAATCACCTATTCGATGTGCCGGTAAACCACACACGCTCCACCGAACTATGACAAACATTGAGTCACCCTTTGCTACCTTTGCTTAGAACCATTTAGTGTGCCAGTAAACCACACACACTCCACTAACGTCTTCACAAGGGCACAAAGTGTAATTTCATGGAATTGCATCAATTCACTTTTACCTAAGTAACTAAGATTGGGAATTTGAAAAACATTTAGTTACTTTGTATTTCATTATACTTATAATGGAAAGTTTCGTCCTATCCTACCTGTTCGGCTAACGACCCTCCACTAGTCAAGAGTGCGGTGGGTAAGAGTGGATACCCATTCAATCGCCATTTTATAAGCAATTTCCTTAAACACCCCTTATAGACCAGTTTCGTGAATGAGGCCTACTAACGGTAAGATTGACTTTTACTCATACATATATATAATGTTATACTTTTAATGTTATATATAGTATAGGGTGTATTTTATACTTTTAAAATACTATATGGTTAACTTTAACAATTACACTTTTAATTCAATTAAATGGTTAACCTAAACCTTTATGGATTTATTAAATCTCTTTTAATTATACTCCTTAATTAATTAATAAAACCATAAGGGTGTGATTTGAACTTTTCAAAACATTACTAGGGTTTTAGAATTTAACATTCTTAATTAAACTTTTAATCAACTTTTAAATTCCAAAACTTGATGGCAAGTTTTGAAACATTTCAAAACATTAGGGTTTTAACTATTTAAATTTCAAAACTTCAAAACTTTTGGGTTCAAATTTAAACTATAAAACCTAAAGGGGAAAATATAAAACTTTTCATAACAACAAGGATCAAATAACAAATAATCTAAACTAACATTTAGTTACATAATTATCCATATTTGATTTGTTTAATGATTTCTTGCAAAACAATTTATCAATTTACTCAAAATAATTAATCAATTATCTTATAAGGAAATAATTATCTTGTTAATTGATAATTATCTTTAATTAGATCAAGAATATAGTCATATATATCATAAAATCGGATTTATATTGATCTAACATGATAAGGTAACTATCCATATGCAAAAACAGCAAGAAATCCCGAGATAAGCATTATCTGACGAGTTGACTCGTCGAGTCAGGCATGGACTCATCGAGTCTGCATGGACTCGGCGAGTTCATCCATGGACTCGGCGAGTCCAGCCTCCACAATCCAAAAAATCGAATTTTCAGTTATACAATGCATCAATACAATTGAAACCAAGCTAGGCTCTGATACCACTGATGGGTTTTGGTCATAAGATATCCTATGTGCTCATACAAACCCTAATGCTTGGATCTAGGTTTCTCTATTGTACATGCTTTGAATCCAAGACTATAAACACTAATTCTAGCATACAAGTAATCATATTAATATGTAATTAGGTTTAAGATCATACCTTGATTGTTATGTAGCAATAACAATCCCAATTCCTCCTTGAATTGACTTTGGAAGGCTTAGAGTCACAAGTGTCACTCCTCTAATGGTTCACAAACACCATAAGCAAGAGGATAAAGAGGAGAGAGGTTGGAGCCTGCCAAAAATGTGTAGAAACCCTAACAAGATCTTAGCCACGTTTTTGAGCCTTAAGGGGTCTTTATATAGTTGGGCTATTAGGGTTATCTAACAAGGAAACCCTAATTTGGATGCTTAAGCCCTAAGCAACCCATAGACTCCTTTTATCAAGCCCATGGATGATTTCCTTATGGGTTTCCCATTAGAATTCGTCCATCCCTTAATATAAGGCAATCCATGGCCCAAATTATAATTATCTTATAATTACAATTCCAGTCCCTTAAGTTTAATTAATCTCTTTTAGTCACAAAACTAATCACCAATTAATTATTGACTAATATTAATTAAACAATATGATTTCTCCTTTAATATATTATTCCCATAATATAATTAATAAATCATATTTAATCCTTTCTCTCCATAATTCATCCTATCAAGTTGCTTCGGTGAAGGCAACCCAAAAGGACCATGCACCATCGGGTCAAGTACATACCAAAATACTTATGGACTTAGACACTAATCCAACAAGAATAACGTTTAAGGGTAGTGGAGGCTCTCCAGGGTTTAGCCCCAAAGGCTTAAAGTCATTTATATAGGCCTCAAGTCCGACATTAGGGTTTTCTGTCCCCTGACGTGTACACCCCACGAACACCCTGGTACGCCCAGCGTACCTCCCAACACCCGCGTCCATGAAAGGCCCTAGTACCTAAGCATACGCCTAGGTATGCCCAACGTACTAAGGGACCAAAAAATGCAACAATTTAAATTTTAATGGGGTTCATGACATACCTTTTTATTTTGGATGTTACAGCTCTCCAACACACCAAATCAGATGCTCTTCTTTCATACCATACACTCTGAATGAGTCATTGCCACTTAACTGAATGATTAAGAGTCCACCAAACGGTCGTTAAGATCCTCCTATGAGCTCCTCGAATATAGATGAAATAGAGAACGATCCTAAAATCCTCATTATGAACTCGAAATAATATGTCTTTGTGATAAGATTGAACGAGTGTTTAGCTTGTCTTTTTGAGAGGCAAAAGTTATTTTTGGAAAATTTAAAAAAAGTCAGGTTTTCCTAACTTTTCCAAAAAGTCGGTTTTCTTTCTATCTAAAATCCAAAAGTAGTTTTTAAAATGTTCTTACCAAACATCTTTTACCTTTTATCTTTTCCAAAAAAGACTTTCGCCTTTCAAAAAGACAAGTTAAACACCCCCGAAGATGATTAAAAGTGATTAACCATATATAAGGGTAAAATATATTTACCAAAATTACTAAGAGTGGCACCATTTCATTGAGGGTTTAAATTGTTTACAATTTAACCAAAAAGACTGCAAGCATTATTTCGCAATAATAATAATAATAATAATAATAATAATAATAATAATAATAATAATAATAATAATAATAAATAACTTAATTAATTGTAAACAAAGAAGGTTAACTAACTGCTAAATTATTACCAAAATGTAAGGTCTTTAATTTGAACTAGAAAGTGACCCCACTACGCGGGGGTTTGATTTTTTGGATTAAGGAAACATTTTTTTGATTGTCTTTATGCTGGATGGATCGACTATTTTTATCTTTATAGTGGATGTATGAGATATGTCACAGAATATATACGAAATGATTTTTTTTCATTACATAGTCATTACATCATTTTAGATTAGATAAGTAGATGCAAAAGATATCTTCATTACAATGTTATTACATGGTTTTACTTTGTACAAGCTGATGCAAAAGAGGTTGATGTTGCAGAAGAGAGCGGTGCTGTTATGTCACGGTGCCTGATGGTCGTGCTGGATTTTGCTACACACATCGATTGCTTCTGACATGTTTTCCTGCATCATCCCGAACATATCGAGCATGAGCACGGTAATGTTGTTAAGGTCGGAAATGACTTGGGTAATGACTGTGAGCTCTTTGTATGGAAGTTCTTCTTGAGCATCGTGTAGTACTGTTTGTGTTGACTGTTGTGTACGTTTGTTGGAGGTTGGTTAAGGAGGTCTTCATCATCTGGAGGAAGTCGATGAGTTTCTACATGATGGTTTCCATGGTGGTTGTATGCTTTTGGTTTAATGGCGATTCATCTTGGATTCGTTTTATAGGGTCAACATGTGGTAGTTGAGTTGGAGTAAATATGGAGCATTTAATTATCACCTGGGAAGTGATGGAAGTGGGATGGCTGCAGCGGATGTAATGAAGGTTGAGTTGTTTTTTTCTTTTTTTGGTAGCTTTAGGGTATAGGGTTAGATATTCCATTTAATGTTGGTATTAAATGTATGTATAAGTTGTAATGTGAAGGGTTCGTTTTCTATGTTTTTTATTAATCAACCGTTGATTTTTCTGATGTTCACCATTTTTTTAATATTATTTTGTTAATATTTTGACTGTTCATTGGTTGGACAATGTTTGTAGGTAAGGTATAACGTATATAATGATAAAGTGATTATTTGGATTGTTTTGTGTGAGTATTCTTTTATAAATATATTATTTGATGTTTGTGTGTGTTCGTAGTTGTTTGTAATGTGTGTTTGTGATCCTTGCAAAATTGAATGGGTTAAACAACTGCTGTTAAAAAAAATCGGAATGTGAAAGTGTGAACTAAGAATATGAGACGGAAACGGCATTGCGATAGCAACATTCGTATCCAAGAGAAGAGGATGTCATGATGTTATTATTGTAACACTAAACATAGAGACATTAGTAGAGGTGGAATAGGTTCATTATGTTGAGCATCCATCTTGGTTGTTATTTGTTGGACTGCTTTCAAATATTTTCCGGTGTAGAACCTGTGTTGTGTTCACTAAGTGTCAGTAGATTGTTTAAACATATGCATGTAAATTTTTTTGTATGTGAATATGTATGTACCTGAAGGGTCATACGATAAGGACCGTGCGACTTTTTGAACTGCTGTAAATGGCTCTGGTGAGGTGTCGTTTTGTCACTTTCTTGCTATTTGGATTGGAGCCGGTGTTGTCGGGATAGACGTGTCGGCCATCGTTGTTAATGTCTTGTGGTCTATTATTATGAAACGTATGTTTTGTGGAGATGATCCTCTGAGCATTTGGATGGACATTTTCTTTGGTTCTTCTTTGTGATTTGTAATGGCCTGAGGTAGAAAACGTCCATCTGTTAGCGGGTTGTTGGATAGGAAGTTGTCAAGGGTTGATTTCACGAGTTTCCAACATGAGGTCTCTGACATGGTTGTGGTGATTGTGTTGGTCGCATCACTAACGATTACGGACAGTTTGTACCTATTAACGTCACATATTCGTTAATATTGTGTATGTAGGGTAATTAAATATATTATGTTAATCGAATGATGATTACGTGTAGTTTGGTTTGTCGATATGTCCATGAGCGCTGCAGAACCAATCTTTCCCTCGTCTAAAGATCGAATCTTTGCAATTTGGACAGGTGGTTTGGTACCAACTATTTTGGTAGACAAAGTCTTTAATGGATGCACGCACAAGGAAGGTTTTGGCCTGTAGGTTCATGGAAATGGGTGAGTTGATTAGTGTATGTCGTAGAGTAGCAGTAATTTGATATTACGAGGAGTTCTGATCTGTTTTTTGACTTCATCTCGTATAGAGTAGTGGGTGTTCCTGGTATTGGTGGTAGTGGTCGTGAGGGTCCTGTAAAGCTGATTTGATAGAGTTATTATTATAGAGTTTTGAATGTGATATTTGTAATTTGTGTGTATAATATGTATGCGTTATAGGTTTGTAAGAGATATTGTTTATGGTATATCGGGGTTGACATAGATGTGCGTGGTGTGTGATGAGCCGTGATGTAGTGCTCCTGTACATAAATCACTTGAACATTAGATATATGACCAGGGACAATATGGTAGTTGGTGATAGTATGTGTGTGATGGTATGTATGGTATAATACCGTTTGAGATGGACGGTTTTAGGTTCGTGACTGCAACAACAGTTGCTGCGGGTGGTGGATGTAGGGAGTCACGGTCGAACTTTTGTGGATTTCCTATGCAGTCCTTCCATAGGTTGATTGCGATTTAACTGCCATTGATACATTGAAATAATTGTTTTGTATTAGTTCCATATGAGAGTAATGGTTATTAAATTTTGTTGGTTGTTATAGATACCTTTCGTCGGTTAGTATAAGCAGGACAAATGATTCCCCACCTATTTTCGTGCAGTCCCTGATTTTCGATAGGACACCGATGTAGTATGAAGATAAGTAAAAAGCAAGTGTATGAGAGAAAGATATTGAATAGTGTGGAGGGTTGAGAGAAGTACCTGGGTAGTAAGGCGGTGTTTCTCCGAGTTCAATAAGATTTGTTTTTGTGAGGAAACGGAACCAAGTTTTGGGTATAGTTACTATTTCTGGAATGTGTTAAATTACAGACATGAGTCCAACGTCAATGTAGAAGTCGTTTTCAAGGAACTTTTGATACTTTTCTAGCTTTGGGCAGCTGTAATCTGATATTGTGTAACATTCCAGGACGTTTAGTACAGATTCGATATAACTCTGGTTGGTTCGTTGGCCAAGAATCTGTATAGCATCGCCCTATAAAAAATGAATGAAATATAAGTTAGTGTATGAAAGTAAAATAAAAATTTCCATAGATTTATTTGGGAATAACTTACAAATTTGTCGACACCTAGGTACTAGGTTTCATAGCGTCGGACATCATGTCTCCATTTCCGTAGTATCCTAACTTGTAAGGGACCCCCAATCCCGTCTGTCTTAAGGTCGGAGATGTTGGTCATCGGTGATGTCCAGTGTCTACTTGGAAGAAATGTAGGGGAATTAGTGTTATGGTTATATGTGAATAAGGTGCAGTATGTAAAGAAGAAGATTGAAATGCGTGACATTTCATTGATGGGAAATAATAATAGTGATAATAATAATAATTGACGTTCGAAAGATGGGAAAAAATAATAGGGATGATAATGAGTTAGAGAACGAAAAACTTGATCATGTTGGAGGACGGTTTGTGAATATGGGAAAGATGGTTGGCAGTGATACGATAGACCTCGGTTGTAGCAACTTTCTGCAATAGATCTTTGAAAGCGATGTTTTTTGTGTGATTCTCTTGTGTTGGGCTGTTAGTTTGTATTAGTATTTTTATCGAATCTGATGATGTTGCTCGTGAAAGGGCGACATAAAGTTGACCGTGTGAAAAGACGGGCTGTGGTAAGTACACTCCAATTCTACGTAAAGATTGCCCTTGGCTCTTATTGATGGTCATTGCATAGCAGACTTTCAATGGGAACTGTTTTCGTAAGAAAGTGAAGGGTATGTCTGGTGACTTATGTATAAACTTTATACGTGGTATATATATATACACGTTTTCCAATGCAAGTTCCAGTCATGATTATTCCTTCATTTACGTTTGGTAGCAACTAGGAAACTATCAAACGTGCGCCATTACATAAGCCTTGCTTTTGGTTGATGTTTCGTAAGAGCATTATTGGACAATGTATTTTGAGTTTCAGTTCATGCGGGGGTATTCCTGGAAAGGTTACGTGGTTTAGGTATTCAATCGGATATAGGCCTTCGAAATCAGGCGTATATTTTCCATTTGGTTGGATTGTATCTAAATTGTTATACGTTCTTCCGTCCGATGTAACCATCTTTAGGATTTGTTCATTTATGTCATCAACTGTATCATTCGTAGGTGACACAATTGCTTTCACTGAAAGGTCAGCCGCGGTCGGGGTCGTAAGTGTGGTATCTCCATAAACAAAGTGTATAAGGGTTTTCATAGACTCAGGTCCTGGTTTTATCTGGAGAGAATCTGGAATTTCGATGAAGCTCGAGTCTTGTGGGTCGTCCTTGTCTGGTACACCAATAGCTCTGTCTCCGATGCGTAGCAACCATGTTGCAAAAGCCGATGCAGACATCAAACCATTAGCAGTTATTTCGGATGAGTCAACTCGCATGTTCCTACGTAGTAGACAGATTCTGAAGAACCGCCATAGGTATGAACTCGGTAGAGTTAAGCTAATGGTCTCTGATCGTGTAGTATTTGGTAGGACAGGAAGTGTTTGCCTGAAGTCACCACCAAGAAGAACAGATATGCCACCAAAGAGTTGGTCATCACAATCTAATACATCTCTGAGTGAACGGTCTAGAAATTCAAAACATCTTCTGTCACTCATAGGTGCTTCATCCCAAACAATGAGTGATGTGCGTTGTAAAAGATCAGCGAGAAATGTCCTTTTTTTTTATATCATAGGATTTTTTTTTTCTATCAGGTCGATTGGGATTTTGAACCTTGAATGGGCCCTTGTTCCAGAAGGAAGCAAAAGAGATGCGATCCCGGAAGCTGCAACCGCCAATATAAATTTTCCTTTAGACCTTAGGTAGGAGATAATAGTAGTCCATAGGAATGTCTTTCCAGTACCTCCATGTCCATAGACGAACATCAGTATTGGCTTTCTATTTTCAATTGACTCTGTGACAGCATTATAGACTGAAAGTTGATCGATATTTAGCTGTGGCAGGAGGGTCTGATGTTGTCTATTTAGGGTTTCTCTGTCATAGCTCATCTCTTCAAGCAGTTGGCGATTTTGCAAAACACTATTGATTTTATTTGTAGGAATTGGGAGACCGAAAACAACCATTGATTTAGATGGGATAGAAGAACGGAGGGTGTTATCTAGATCGTTTAATAGTTGCTGCTGGATGATGTCCGTAAAAGAGGCAACATCCTTATCTGGCATTTCCCTTTGCATTGCGTGTAAGTAGTCGTCCTTCATTTTTTCACACGCGAATTCCCACAGTGTTTGTGGGTTGCTAACTTCGCAGAAAAGCAAAAGTTGACAGAAAAGAGAGCGAAGTTGTGGCGAAGTTGCCCAAACGGATGCTTCGGTGAATGCGGTGAGCCTTTCGGCGTCGTTGCCTATTAGGTTTAGTGCGTTGCAAGCGGCTCTGAAGGTTGGGTAAATGGTACCAGAGACAGCCTGTAAGTCTTGAAAAGACATAAAACCCTTTTGGTGACAAAGCAACATACGTAGGTAAAATAATTCGCCTGACATACTAAATGACTTGAAAGACTTACAGACTGTCTCCGGTAGGCCGTCACCTTACCTATCTAGAATACCCAAAAGCTTATAACACAAGCCGCCCAATCATCTTTGATGACTCATCAACCCGAGGGCTCAACGACTTGAAAGACTTTTCCCATTTATAGGCTTTTGGGTATTCTAGATAGGGAAGGTGACGGCCTGCTGGATCTCTTGTATTGCTGCGAAACCACCCTATAACAGTTGTGATGGTGTTGTATCGGTTCGAGAGAACTTCTGGTATTGTCGAGTCTTCCTTAAACAGTAGTTGTTGCATGTTTTCTTCGTGTACCGAGAGAACCTGAACAAGCGGATGTCGAAGGTGTATGTGAAAGTTTAGAATGCGCCATGCTGCTTCGTGTGGACATATGTAACGGCCATCTAGGAAATTCTTCACCTCGTCCACATATCGAAGTTGAGGATTCTGTGGCGCGTCCTGATTACCAGAGATTATGACAGGGGTGGATTCATCGGGTTGTTCTGCTTTTTGGATTGTGTATCTAACACGATCTGCTCCTTTCGAGATGTATTTGAATAGGTATTTTATCATCATGTTCCATCCACAATATTCGATGTTGACGTGTATGCGGAAGCGTGAGGAAAGTCTTCTATTGTAAGGCACAATGTAACCGTTGTTTATAAGTTGTCCATGTTGATTTATATGGTACGCAGATGCTTTACGTTTGTAATGAACGTAGCCTTCTGTGTCAAACAATGTGGAATCAAGAAAGGGCTTAGGGAAACACTTGCGGCATTTACCATCCTGCATACATGGAGCTTTTGGGTTGATCAGTCCACACTGGCCGTGTATCATACAGCTAGTTATTGTCTCATACAGTTCCGAATCTGTGACAGGATCTAGCAGCTCCGCTGTGATATATGTATCAACATCAGCTGCAGTTCTTATTCTGTCAGCTGCCTTTACCCAAATTAGAGTATGGCAATGTGGAAGGCCTCTCTTTTGGAATTCAATGGTGTACAAATCCGCATTGTCAAAAGGTAACCTATGAAGAATATACCGCTGAATATTAAAAATAAGGTTGTGAGGTAATTTCGGTAACTTCTAAAATGCCTAGTTAAATAGAGTTTGGATGTGCAAAGAGGATAATAGTAAATCTTATTGTAAACATAACCATTGTTATCGATTGTAAAAAGATAAACGGTGCAAAATTTCCATCTGTAGATATATTTCGATAGGACGAAATTCATAGGTGGGAACGTATATACAGTTGAATATTTGTTGTTTTAATTGTGGGTTGGGACAACAGCTTTGATATGACAAATCAGGCAAAAAACCAAATAACTGTAAAAACTAAAAATTATTATCCAATATGTATAGGTAAATGCTGCGAAAATTCATAATTTTATGAAAAAGAAAGTTAGTATCGAAACCTAAATTTGTGTATCTATTATGTATAAAGAAATGGTTGAATGGAAAGGCACAGCTGGGAAGAATGAATCCAAATGAAAAAAAAAAGTTAAAATAAAAATCTGTTGAGGGGTAAAGTAGGAAAGTTTTGAAAGTGTAATTAAAAAAAAGTTTGGGTATGTCAACAGGATAATGGTAAATGTTATTGTAAACATAGCAAGTATCGTTTCCAAACGAGATAAAGAACTAAAAGGAAAAATCTGTTGGGGGTTAAAATGGAAAAGTTTTGAAAAGTTTCAATAGTAGACTAGAACAGGATAATAGTAAATTTTGTTCTAAACATAACAAATATCATTATTGATGATGTATTTACAATGCATATGGATAAACGGTGATAAATTTTCATCAGCTAAGGCTATAAGTATAAACAGTGTCCATTTAGTATAAATGTAGTGTATTATTGGTAATGTAATCTTTTTGAGATTCATATTTTTTAATTCTGGCTTATGTGCGGAAAGAAGATGTAGATTAAATGTAAAAAAATTTCATCTTACATGGAGGTTTGAAAACAAAATACAGGAGTTATTGTAAAGGTAATATTAAAAATGGGACGGCGGACACCAAAATGGAAATGTGGCAATGTTTAAAAGGACCCAACAACGAAGAGGGGTAATATGGGAAACTTTTAAAAGCTGAAGTAAATTATTATAGCAAACATTAGAATGGATAGAAAAAACAGCAGGCAAGGGTTGTTAAACAAAAAGGTCATATAAAATACAAATGAAAAGAAGACGTACATACAGCCACATATGAGATACAGTCAAAACTGCTGACAGAGGGCATATTTAGTAGAAAAGTATATAGGTATAAAAATTGTACATTTAGGATGATGAGTTTATGTTTTTTTTAATAATTGGTCACAATACATCAAAAGAGAAGGGTTATGATATAAGTTTTTGTTCTAAAAACCTAACAGTAAGGGCATAAGTCACTAATAAATGAAATTTCTGATATTAAGTTTTTGTTTTAAAAAGCTAACAGCAAGGGCATAATTCACTAATAAATGAAATTTCTGAATAAAATTGAAATTGAGAAGAAAAAAACAAAGAAATTCATTAATGAATACTTACTGATAACTATTGATTTTTCAAAGCACTGATAAATACATTTGACAACCCATATAGATGAATCATCAACATCAACATTACCAACAAAATAATTTTCATTCAGGTCATCCAAAAATTTATAAAAAAAAAGAAAAAATAAACAATATTGTAAAATGTGTGCATAAATATTTTGACAAAGGAATAAGATAATGCTCCTTAGCATGAAGTTCTTTATAATAAACAGTTACATCGAACAGCATAACAAAAATCATGAATAGAAAGGGACTTCAAAACCATAACAGTAAAAGGAACAGCAGGAGCTTCTATATCCACAGAGATCAACCACAAATTCCAATATTGCCCTTAAAGAACTTATAAGTGATATCAGCTACAAAAGGTAAAAAAAAAAAAAAAAAAAACCTTTTTTTTAGGATATAAGTTATAGAAGGGCAAAATGGTCAATAATAAATTAGGTAGATTTAAACCAAACCTCAAATAATGAAAACTCAAACATTCTCTAGCAACCTCAGATTATTTAAACCAAACCTCAAATAATGAAAACTCAAACATTCTCTAGCAACCTCAGATTATGAAAACTGACACTACCATTGCGTACATATACCTAAGGAAAATCAACATAGCATTCACTTATTTTCCTCATTTGTAATATCATTCATTTTCTTCGATCTAATCATCAAATCCAAAACTTTCTATAAAAAAGAAGGTGTTAAATCTTATGAAAAGAATCCTGAAACCTGGTAGTGTTTAAAACAACCGAAAAACCAAGAAGGGTAATATGGAAAACTTTTAAAAGCAGAAGTAAATTGTTATCATAAACATAAGAACTGTTAAAAAAAGCCACAAAAAAGGGTTCTTAAACAAAGAAGGCATATACAACACAAATGAAAAAGAAGACGTACATGCATCGACAACTCCAAAAGGTTTATCCGCCTTAAGGAAGTCTATGAATTCATGGACCTTTATGTGGAAGATTCTAGCAATGATATCCGCCCGACTATGAACATCTCTCTGGCGATGTGTTTTCATATAACGGGTAATATTGGGCAATTTTACATTACAGGTAAATGTAATGAAGTACTGTGGATTCCCATACACTCGGCAAATCGAAAGTGCGTCCTGATAGTGACTATACATAAACCGAGGCCCACCATTAAACGATGCAGGTAAGAAAACCTGCTTCCCAACAGTACGCGCCTCTCTGTCCCCTTTTGATAGAGCGTCATACAGGCAGTAACATAATCGCTCCGAAGATTAGACTAATGTTTGGTTATGTACTTAAGACGGCTCTCTTCAATACAGGTGTACGCATCTACTAAATACTGTTGGAATTTTGGATTATTCCAATCATTGATTCTTTCCTTTTCTTATTCACGTATTTTTCTATCCTTTATTGTGTTTCCTTTTCTTAGCCTTGAAGATAGGATCTCTTATTTTCTTCCTCTATATATATATTGTGTGTTTTCTGTAATGAATACAATAGAAGAAAATATTTTCTGGTCTTCTACTATTTTATATGGTATCAGAGCGGGTTACATACCGCTTGAACAAAACCCTAAAATAACCATCTCCATTCAACATGGCTGGGGAAGACGACAATGGCAGCGGCTCATCAAACAAGACTGACAACGAATCATCCGACCATGGCTCTCCTTACTATCTTCACCCGTCAGACTATCCTAGGCAAATGCATGTGAATGAAACATTAAACGACAACAACTATCTTGATTGGGTTCAAGAAATGGAGAATTTTCTGTTTGCGAAAAATAAAATAGGGTTCGTTGACGGAACCCTTCAGAAACCAGAGAAGACACACGCTAATCACATGGGGTGGCTTCGATGCGATGCCATGATTAAAGGATGGCTGACTACAGCCATGGAAAGGGAGATCAGATCTAGTGTCAAATATGCTAGCACTGCCGAAGAAATCTGGAACGACCTCCGTGAGCGCTTCGGGAAGGAAAGCGCACCTAGGGCGTATGAACTAAAACAACTTCTCACAACAACTAAGCAAGACGGAGCTTCTGTTTCTGCATATTACACCAAGCTAAGGGCACTTTGGGACGAGATAAGTTCAGTTTTTAATATACCCAAATGTTCTTGTGCAGGTTGCAAATGTGGGATCAGTAAAAGACTCACTGAACTAAGAGACAAGGAGAGATTATACGAGTTCTTACTTGGACTCGACAGTGAGTTATCCACGATCAGAACCCAAATATTAGCAATGAAGCCTATTCCTACTTTAGGTGAGGCATACCACCTTGTGGCAGAAGACGAGCAGCAACGGGCAATCTCAACTGGAAAAAGGACCAATAGTGAAACAGCTGCGTTTCAAGCTCACATAAAACATGATGCTGATGTTTGGTCACAGAGAAAAACGGGTCCAAGAAATGGAAAAAGAGGAGGAAATGATAAAGTTGAACATTGTGATTTTTGCGGGAAAGACGGACACACTCGCGACGGTTGTTTCAAGCGGATCGGTTACCCGGAATGGTGGCCCGGCAAAGGGAAACCAGAAAAAGGAAAAGCGAAAGCAGCTTTTGTTGAAACAGAACGGGACTCAATGAATGATAAGCATGGTGATGAAAAGATTACTATAGCTGGACTAAGCAGCGAACAGTATAGGCAATTTGTCAATCTGTTCACAGCGAAAAATTCTCAGAATATTGATGTTACTCAACCGGCAGCCAACATGGCAGGTAAATTTGATGAAGGTAACGATTGGGTTGTAGACTCAGGTTGTACCGAGCACATAACTCACATTCTTGATTCTATTCACAACAATATTGAACCATCACTTGAATTACCTGTGACAATACCAAATGGCGACTCTATTCCTGTAAAGGGAAAAGGAACTTGTACTTTACCTAACGGGAGTGAAATCCGAGATGTTTTATATGTTCCGGACTTCACGTGTAACTTGTTATCTGTTAGCCGGTTAACAAAAGGACTTAAATGTGCCGTAACATTCTTCCCGGATTTTTTTGTTATGCAGGACTTGAGTTCGAGGAGATTGATTGGGACGGGTAGTTGCCAACGAGGTCTATACCGGATGAAAGTCAAAGAAAATAAAAGAGAAGCCTTAGCAACAACAGGTGAAGTATGGCACAAACGCTTGGGACATGCCTCATATAGCAAACTTTCACATTTTGATTTTTTTTCTTTAAGCTCGAACAATATGGTTTGTGACTCTTGTGCAAGGGCAAAGTTTACTAGATTGCCCTTTTCTATTAGTTCTATCAAATCAACAGAGTGTTTTGAACTTTTACATTGCGATATATGGGGAAAATACCGAACGCCTTCACTTACGCATGCAAATTATTTTCTTACGATCGTTGATGATTTTAGTCGATCAATATGGGTTTTTCTTTTACGACATAAATCCGATGCAAGTGATTGCTTGATTGGTTTCTGTAAAATGATCAAAACTCAATTTAATAAATGTGTAAAAAGGGTCCGGTGTGATAATGGGGGGAATTCACCTCGAATCGCATGGTGAACTTTTACACGGAACAAGGAATTCTTCTCGAAACCACTTGTCCCCATACCCCTCAACAAAATGGGGTTGTTGAGCGAAAACATCAACATTTACTCGAGACAGCAAGAGCTCTACGATTTGAAGCAAAGTTACCTTCTACCTTTTGGGGCGAGTGCATCTTAACGGCAGCTTACATCATAAATCGTCTCCCTTCCAAGACGATTGACAACAAAACCCCATACGAAATTGTCTACAACCAAAAACCAAGTTATGACCACATGAAAGTTTTTGGTTGTCTTGCTTATTATCGCAACACAGAAACGAGAGGAGATAAGTTCGAGGAAAGGGGGAGACCGGGAATTTTCTTGGGTTACCCGCATGGCACAAAGGGATATAAGATTTTTGATATAAAGAACAAGAAAATGGTGGTATCAAGAGACGTAAAATTTGTTGAAAATATGTTTCCCCATGGTAAAGAAAAAATACAAATTGAAAATGAAGAAGGCGATATATTCGAAGCACCCACATGGCATCATAAAACCTTTACCGATGAACAAACCGTCACTAATAAAGAAGATGATCAAAGTGTACCAGTGGGCCATGAAGAAGTTAATGCTCCACAAAATATGCATGAAGATGATTTTCCCATGCAAGACAACGTTGACAGTGTGAATGTAAATTCAAATGGCATGCACATGGAGTCAAATAATTCACACACGCATGAAGAAGATTCGGTTGAAATTAATGTTGAAAATCCTCCACTCACTAGAGAAAGAAGGAACAGGTCGCGGCCGACTTACCTCGATGACTACATTGTTAACTTGCCATCATCCATAGACCAAGCAACACCCGTCACCAATCGAGACTCCTCTACGGTACATTCTTTAGCCAATTTTATTTCTTACAAAAATTGCACTCATTCTCACAGAGCATTCCTAGCGGGAATCAGCACCAATAATGAGCCAAAGAGTTTCAGCCAAGCCGTAAAAAATGTAAATTGGAGAGAAGCCATGAAGAAGGAGATACGAGCCCTTGAACAAAACGGTACATGGACTCTTGAAGAATTGCCGAAAGGGAAGCGTGCGATTGATTCAAAATGGATATATAAAATAAAATACAAACCGAACGGCGAGATCGAAAGATACAAGGCGAGACTAGTAGCAAAGGGTTTCACTCAAATAGAAGGCATTGACTTTCATGATACGTTCGCCCCGGTAGCCAAACTCGTCACCGTTCGGACCCTTTTAGCAGTGGCGGTCAAGAAAAATTGGATTATCAATCAACTTGACGTAAACAATGCCTTCTTACACGGAGAATTACACGAAGAGGTCTATATGAAAATCCCACAAGGTTTTGAGAAAGGAAAGGAAAACAAAGTATGTCGTCTCAGAAAATCCCTTTACGGTCTCAAGCAGGCTTCAAGGAATTGGTATCAAAAATTTACTTCATCGTTACATATGATCGGTTTCAGACAGTCTCAAGTGGACCACTCGTTATTCATCTTTAAAACGGAAAACTCATTCGTGGCGGCACTCATATATGTAGATGATGTCATAATTGTGGGAAATGATGTGAAAAAGATTAAAGAAACGAAAACATTCTTGAATGAGAAGTTTAGCATTAAGGATCTAGGCCCCTTGAAATACTTCTTAGGTATCGAAGTGACTCGTACTCGAGACGGAATAGTGCTCAATCAAAGGAAGTATATTCTTGATATCCTGGAGGATAGTGGAATGATGGGGTGTCGGCCTAGCGCTTTTCCCATGGAGCAAAATGCTAAACTCCAAAAGAATGATGAAGATAAGCGAGTGGATACAAATAAATATAGAAGACTTGTAGGAAGATTGCTATACTTACAAGCAACCAGGCCCGACATTACCTACTCAGTCAACATTTTAAGCCAGTTTGTGACGGATCCTCGTGAAAGTCACATGAATGCTGCTATGAGGGTGTTGAGATACTTAAAAGCTACACCGGCACAGGGGATACTACTTCCAAAGGAGGGTGAAGCAAATTTAATTGCCTATACTGATTCAGATTGGCTTGGGTGTCCAGATACGAGAAGATCGAGGACCGGTTACTTATTACTTCTGGGGGGAGCCCCGATATCATGGAAATCGAAAAGGCAGTCTGTTGTGTCTCGCTCTTCCGCGGAAGCTGAATATCGAGCAATGGCAACTACGGTTAGTGAAGTCATTTGGCTTCGATGGCTTCTAAAAGAATTAGGTCTAGAACAAAGTGATCCTACTCAACTATTGTGTGACAACATGGCTGTGAAACACATTGCAAACAATCCGGTATTTCACGAGCGTACCAAGCATGTTGAAATGGATTGTTATTTTGTCCGTGAACGCGTCGAGTCGAAAGAAGTGAAACCGTTACACATCGACACTAAGTCTCAAGTTGCGGATTTGTTTACCAAAGCTTTGGGAGCTAAACATCTTCAATCTCTACTCAACAAGTTGGGCATTTGCAACCTTCATGCTCCAACTTGAGGGGGAGTTTTGGATTATTCCAATCATTGATTCTTTCCTTTTCTTATTCACGTATTTTTCTATCCTTTATTGTGTTTCCTTTTCTTAGCCTTGAAGATAGGATCTCTTATTTTCTTCCTCTATATATATATTGTGTGTTTTCTGTAATGAATACAATAGAAGAAAATATTTTCTGGTCTTCTACTATTTTATATGGAATAGTCTAGACGCCTTCACTATGGGGACCAGATATGGCATCTAGCATGAATATAATAAGCGTAATACATGTTAACAGTAAGGTTTTTTGCAGTAACTCCTCTCCGATTACATATCTTCAAACGGGGAGACCATCCTTCCTCACCATATGGAAACAATAGCAGGTATTGCAAGGGCATATAACTTGGATGCAGCTTACTAATCCGTTTAGGTCGACCCGAGTGGGAAACACAACAATGTCATACGTGGTGCAGGTTGCATCATCTCCAGTTACTATACAACCTAAAGATCCAGGAGAGGGCAACCCGTATGTACGATCAGGCACATTGTTAAATAGACAGACTGCATACAGGTCTAGATTACACTCATCCGCCATAATCTTAGCACTTTTAAATGTCCGTACGTATTCATTATTAGCCCCCAAGAACCCTACAAGAAAATGGACAATATTACCATCTAAATCCCTCTTCCTTGGACCATCAATCGCCTTCAATCTATTTTGAACGTCGTGCTCTATATCAAATAGATAGAGTTGAAGAAACCTGGGACCCTTTACAGGATCCGGAGATAGTGATCTAATCGTATGAGAAATCTGCTCACATATCTTAAAAACATAAGGCCCACGATCTTCATTAACAGCGTGATCTACATTCGCCCCAAAAGAAGTCATGGAAAACATGCTATTATATGCCCTAATATCCTTCATAAAACTTACATTCTCATAAAGGGCAACGAAATCGGGGTCAAATGCAGGAGGATATGGAAGAACAACACCTCCATCCCGACAACAATGACTATACCTCGGATGAGCAGGTGTCGAAAACTTAGCAACCCTTTCAAGATACCAGAAATACACACCACAGAATTCACAAACACAGCTGCAATCACCAGAATCAACATATTGAGGAAGGCCAGAAAAGAAATCGAGATGTCGAGACCTGCGAGACCGAGGAGCAGAGGAGGAGGAAGAAGATACAGCTGGCCGCTTTGCCCGAACATTCATTAAAAAATACGTGCGTAAAAGACAGAGGACAATGTAAAGAAAATACAAAAAGAAGCGAAAGAGATTACTGAGAAAGAAAAGAACGACAGAGGAGAAGGCAAGTCGGGGAAGATTCAGCGAAGAAGAAAGGGAAAGGAGCAAAAAAGAAACACGTGGAAATTAGAACCGAGGAAGAAGACACGTCTCATAGAAAATAAGGCGTCAGCAAGGAGAGCTGAACCAAAAAAAAAAAGGAAAAACAAATAGATAACGCAAAATGCATAACAAAGGAGTTAAAAAGATGGAAAAACCCCAAAAGCAAGAACAGCATATTAGAAGGATGCATTTTGACAAAACAGTGTAAAGAATACTGTAGCTAAGAACACAGAAATTTAATATATTGTATAATGCGTAAAGATGCAAAATGTCAAGTCTTCATTTACGGTGTTACAGTTAATCACCTTCGAAATTATCAAAAATATACAAATAATTACAACTTTTGAAACACTTGAATAGTATAAATATATTATTAATGTAATAATTTTTTATTGTATCGTATTTCATTATTTATAGAATTAAAAAAATGGCAAAATATACTCATCGTTTAATTCAATTACCCAACAACAAGAAAGAACCCATTTGAGGTTAAATTAATACCCATGTTACACGGGACGACCAATGTTTTGAGGCGAACCCAACCCAACGAACGTAATTAGTGGAGCATATGCAAAAAATGGGATATTGAAAAAAAAATTGTATCATAAAATGAACTTTTTAATAAAATCGATTATTTTTTAGTTTTGGAAAAATGGCATTTTTTGGAAAAGGTGTACATTCTGGTTTTTGAAATGTCTCTTATCACTAATTTGTATCATAAAATTCCTACTTTTGTATCATAAAATGAACTTTTCACCTAACACTCTTTTAAAAAAAATTCCTACTTTTGTTCGGACTGAGCATTTTGAAATGTCTCTTATCACTAATGTGTAATCAAATATCTATTTTTAGTAAAAACCAACCATTCTATTGGACTTCTGAAGGTGTTTATTGGATTTTGACCTTTTATTGAAATTCAAGATTTTTTTTGTTTTGGGTTTTTTTTGTCAGGGATCTAGAATACGAAATTTCTGTCCGGAATGTCAGTCTAAACTGCATTTTTTTATCTGAAAAAATATCGTCAATAAAACATAAAGTTCATTCCAGACAAAATGACCATTTTCTCAAAACATGGAAACTTTGGTTATTTCAATTAAAACATTTAACCATAAGGTCATTTTTGTTAATATCCCTACAAAAATAGAGGATTAAAAACAAGGTATATGGTTCATTTTATAGGTGTCAAAAATAGGATATCTAAAAATTCATATAACGGATTTCTTGTATCTGAAACATTGGATTTTGGATATACATTCGAATATCCAAAATTTATTACTTTCATTTTACAACCATAAGAGCATATATTCAAACTCGAACCACATAATCTTGCATCCTTTAAAAAGACTAATTTACACAAGCAACTATTTTACTTGACATTGTCTCCTCAAATGAACTAATTTAGCCAAACTCATGTATTGATTCGATATTAATGTTAACATAATAACTTTTTGAGTTCTTGACTTCAAAATGTGTTTTCCAACTAAAGCATTCAACATAGAAAAGTGACATCACTACAAGAAAAAAAGGGAATTAGCGACGACCAGACGTCGAAAAGTGACATCACTTCAAAAGTGACATGAATTCAAAAGTCACCGGTAAAGACAACGCGTCACCAATAAAAAGTTGCCCCTACTATTCTGTCGCTATTGCTCAAAATGTCGTTGGTAAAGATATTTCTCGCCGCTAATGCTCTTGTCACTAGTCATAGTCCGTGTCGCCACTAAAGCTCTTGATGTCGCTAATACCCCATGTCGCTGGTAATAACGTTTTCAATTTTTTATTTTTTTAAATCAACGATTTTCGGTGCAAAAAACCGATACATAACGACATCAAATGTAGAAAAAAATTACATAATAACATCCGATTTGATACCATATACTGTTATAATTAATTTCATAGCAAAATAAACAACCAAAGTTCTATAATTCTAACAAGTAGAAAGTGTCATGACAAGTATAACATACAAAACATAAATTAATTATCCGATGAACAATCATCTCCGTTCCCCTCCTTTCCTCCATGATCTTTCCTCGATTGAAAAAACGTGTAAATCTCCTCCCTACATGTCTGGTCGTTGAGAATTGCCCGAAGATTTTTCCAACTACATAATAAGTAACACCATATATAAACTTGTAAGTTAAATTATCAAACATAAATAAAAACTAACAAAGTACATTGCTATTTCTTACACTTGGGACAAAATCACAATTACCAAATCAGCATACATTTATCGATGCCAAAGTACATTGTTATTTTTAAACTAGAGACAAAAAAAAACAAATTGCATTTCTATTTCTTGCACTTAAAACATAAACACAATTACAAACACAATTATCATATCAACATGCATTTAGTGATCATTATATAGATACATGAGACTTTAAATTTAAATAAATTACTCTATTTGAGCTAAAGAACCTTAAACAAAAGAAATACAAAAGAACATTGCTATTTCTTGTACTTAAAATACAAGAAATATCAAAAGTACATTGCTATTTCTTGAACTTGGGACAAAAGCACAGGTATCAAATCAACATGCAGTTATTGATGCCAAAGCACATCTTTATTTTCAAACTAAGACAAAAACCAAAGTACATTGTTATTTCTTGTACTTGGGACAAAAAAAACAATTACCAAAGTTTTTATCAAATAATCACCGCAAACAAAAATTACAAAATCAACATGCATTTATTGAAATTAAATAATCTTGTTTTACCTATAATGGTTGTGATGACTGTGGTGGTGGTTGCAATGGTTGTGAAATCGACACGATAGCGAAAGGTTTCCGGTCGATGCCTCTTATATGGCCACGTCGTTGTCCGAATACTTTCTCGAATGTAGCTGCTTCTTGAGTCGGTTTTAACTATGTTTCAACTTCTGGCCCTTGAGTCACGCTTAAAGCAGTGTTGCCGCTAATAACTTCGCTAGTAATGTTCTTGTTTCTTGTAGTGACGCTCCTAATCCTTCTCAATTTTTTTAACATTTATTAGCTTGAATTAAGTACTTGTTTTGAAAATCAATAGCGTTTGAGCACACATTTTATTTTCTCCTCCTCCCCTAAAAAGTATAAATAAATAAATAAATATCAATTAATGCTTCAATAATTTCTTGAATTCTGTTATGTAACGATTTAATCTTAAACTTTCTTCGTTATGAATTTTTTATCGTTAAAACATAACGGCTACCTTTTGAATAAAATCTTCTTGTGATAGTAATTATATTCAAAAATCAAATAGCACTATCAAGAATATGACCATTGTGTAACGGTCTAAACTTTATCAACTTTATTGTGATAAATTCTTTAACATTGGAACATTTCTCTCTCTCTCTCTCTCTCTATCTCTTTCTGTGTGTGTGTGTGTGTAAACGATACTGTTAGCACATCTCTAATGCTCATAACTTTTCTTGCTTGTTCTGGTACTTTAATTTCCTTATCTGTATAGGCCTATTCATGCTTAATTTATTTGAAACGATTGTAGCCTTTAGATCAACCATTTCATTGAGCCTTTTTTCATATTTGTTTTTCTTTTACCCCAAAAGAGTATGGATTTTGCCCCCTTAAGTTTAGATCTTCTTAAATTTATTTGAATCGCTTTTACCTGGAGAATGAACCCTACATTAAGGAAGGAAAATACTTTCGCTTAGGCTAAGAAAGTCTCTAAAGAAATCAAGAATGTAGTCACTGCTAAAGGGGACTTACACCTGCTGCATGGAGGTATAAACTTAAAAAGACTTCATTTTCAATTTGAAAAAAAAATAAAATTAGAAGATGGGTCCATATGAGACCATCCAGATCGAAGTCTGGTTCCATCGTATGCATTATCAAGTAGCTGACATTTCATTTCTTGACAGGTCTGTACGCAATTGGATAAAGATCAAATGCAATAACAAATTCGTTGTTGTGTATTCGGTTATGATGGAATGTTTCGTTCCCATTTTTGATAGTAGAAATGAAGTCGATATGATCCGGAATGTTGTAAGCAGTTGCAGATAATTTCAAGTCTCATTAAAGATGCCACTTTGATCATCCGCACCAGCGAGAGTCTACTGGACTATGCAAATCAACATGTCAACCATTAATTGACTATTAGTTGTTTAAGAAATTAGAGAAGTGACATGTCATTTAGTTTGTTAATCTGCTAGCTAGCAAGGTAATTAGAATGCTTTGTTTTCTTCTTCTTATATATAAGAACCCTATGTAAATTGTTAATCAATAATGGAAACACTTTTCTCAAATTTATCTCTCAGTCAGTTGTTATTTCATCTTTCTACATGGTATTGGTATCAGAGCAAAAGCTCCTGATTCCATCTTCGTTTTTCATTCATTTTATCTGATCTCTATTTCTCAAATCATGTTTAATTCTACTCCAAATCAAGCAATTGGATCCCATGGATCTAACATTGAATGAAAAACAATTACCAAAGTTTTTATCAAGTAATCACCGCAAATAAAAATTACCAAATCAACGTGCATTTATTGAAATTAAATAATCTTGTTTTACCTATAATGGTTGTGATGACTGTAGTGGTGGTTGTGATGGTTGTGAAATCGACAGGATAGCGAAAGGTGTCTGGTCGATGCCTCTTATATGGCCACGTCGTTGTCCGAATACTTTCTCGAATATAGCTGTTTCTTGAGTCAGTTTTAACTCAGTTTCAACTTCTGGCCCTTGAGTCACGCTAAAAGCTGTGTTGCCGCTAATAATGTCGCTAGTAATGATCTTGTTTCTTGTAGTGATGCTACTAATCCTTCTCATTTTTTTTAACATTTCTTAGCTTGTATTAAGTACTTGTTTTGAAAATCAATAGCATTTGAGCACACATTTTATTTTCTCCTCCTCCCCTAAAAAAATATAAATAAATAA